ATTGCTGTAGGCTGTGTCTACACTATGGAGTTATGCTGGCATAGCTATGACAGTGTAGCTATGTTATTAGAGTCCCTGTAACATAGACATGGCCTAAGATAGCCAATGTGCACTGAATTCAAGACTGATACTTGCATGGGTAAGATTTAAGACAAAACAGGTTAACTGTTTTAGGCCAGAGTTTGAAATAATCACTACTCACTTTGAGTGCAGTAATTATATTAATAATCCTTAAATATAAAAAAAAATCTCCCTCTAGTCCTGACATTTGAACATAGAGGTCATAAAGAGAACACCCCTTCCTCAGATCTCTGGAGGCCATGTTCAGAGCTTCTGGAGCACTGAGCTGTGACCATCTTACATTCCATGGATTGTGTTTGGTTTCAGTGCAGTATAGCTTACAGTAGGCAGTTTCCTCTCTCTTGGGTGTTTGCTAATTTAGAAATACATTAAAACATGTATTTATTAGGAAGCTGAGCAGATTCTGTTCAATAATAGTACTGTTTTTTTAAATATGTGGAGTAACTGTGTTTGAGATAACCACAGTCAATTCACAGTAAGTTCTTAAAATTAAATATTGGAGAAATACATGGCAAGCAAATTATTTCCGGTTGGTGCTATAAAGTTAATGAACTTTTACCATGTATTTTTTCCTTTAGGAAACTGTATTAGATACCCTTGATGAAGATGCAAATACATTCAAGTCAGAAGATGTTTGTAAAGAGAAAAACACTTTGCCAAATGCTAACTTGTGTTGCCACAGTGCTAGCAATATTATTGGAGAAATTGACAAATTGACCAAAGATCTAGTGACTCTATGTGATGGACTGCATGAGCTAGTAAATTGCAAGAAGTCAGCATGGTATGAAAAGGTAAGGATTGTATTTATTTCTTGACTTAAGGAAAATACCTCACAAGATGACTACTACTGTGTATGAACCATGCGCTGATTCTCACCCCAGAACTCCTATGACTCTTACTATGATTATTTATTACTTGTTTCAGATAATGCCCACAGAGTGTTAGGTGTTTTTCAAACAAAAAATAAGGTACAGTCCCCACCCCATGAGGTTATGTTCAGAAACCAGGCAGATGTGGTGATCCTTATGCCAGTGACAATACATTCTGAAACCAGACAGATGTGCTTGCATTGTGAGGGGAGTAGTAAAAGGATAGTGACTATGGAGGAGAGGGAGGCAGGAGAGGATGGGATCACTGGGCCAAATGGAGGGGAAGAAGAGGACAGCAGATGGGAAACCATAGTGTTTGTGATGGTGGCAAAGGAGGTGAGGTTAATCAAAGAGAAAAGTTCGGGGAGATCATGGCAGGTGTCAAGGCTGAATCTCCACTCTGTCACTTCGAGTGCAGAAGGTGGGGGTCTTCTTAAACTCCCAAGGTTACAGCTTTTCTCTGACCTTGGCTTGGTAAACGCTGCCACCACCCAAATGCAAAAAAACCCCTTGGACCCAGGAAGGAGCACTTGGGAATTCCTCCCTGTGGGGTACCTTCAAGCCCTTCTCCCCTCTCTCCCCCCGGGGAGAAAGAGCTGAGAAAGAAAACAAAGGAAATTAGCTGTTGCCACTAGCTAATCAAACAGCATATGCACAAACCTCTTAAGACACCAAAAATCCAATCCTGTTCTTAAAAAAGGTAAATTTTATTAAAAACAAAAAGGAAGAAACTACATCTGGAACTTAGGCTTTTGCTAGATTTTAAAAGAGCAATTCCAAAAATTAAGCACCCAAAATAGCTTTCTTGGGGGTTAGCTTAAAGGTTACAAGCAAACAAAAGCATCTGGGGTTAGCATAGAGGAGTCCACAAGCCTTAAAAAGAAACAGAAATAAACCCAATCACATCTTCTAAACATTCCCTGCCTTCCAGTGATTCCTTCTAGGTCTGGAAGATAATTTTTCATACCTGGTTCAAACCTTACACAGCATTCCTGCTTATAGCATTGTTGCTCCATGTCCTTGTAGCCCAGAGAGAACAACAGACAAAGGGAAAGTTTCTTTCCCAATTTTAAAAAGTTCTACCCTTCCCATTGGCTCTTTTGGTCAGGTGCCCACTTCCTTTTCTTTTACCTGTGGGCTTGTTAACTCTTTACAGGTAAAGCAAATAGAGAACAGCTACTAAGAGGAATTTAATAGCTAACTGGCTGGCTGGGTGTCCATAAAAGGGAGCTACTCCCACTTCATTTATCACAGCAGGTCTTGTCAGTTTTCACTAAGAGGGAGTCTCCTGGAGATGGCTGAGGAAGTTGAAAAGGAGGCAGGTTTCAGAAGGGAGTGGAAGGTTGCAAAGAGGTAACAGGAATTGAGTGGTAGTCAGTGAGAGAGGAATAGTGTTGCTTGCCGAGGAAGACAGTAGAACTGAAGGAGAAGAGAACACAGTTGAAGTGGAAGAAGTTTTTGTGGCCAGGGGACTTTCTCCAGGAGCATTCAGTGGCACAGGAGCAGCAGGACATTGGGGTGAGCCAAGGTTGTGGGGTTAATGAGATGGACTTGGTGGTGGGACAGGCAAAGGAATCAGGTTTAGTGGAAGGATTGGACTTCTGACTGCTGAGGAGAGGGATGAGAGAACTGGGGATGGGTGGGAGTGTGGAAGAGAAGTCCTAGAAGTTGATGGATTGGAGCTCATGACAAGGTTAGGTGTAGGTAGGTGAATCAGGGGATGTGTGTGTTAAGGATCTGGTGGTGGTTGTAGAGGGGGAACTCGGGTATTCAGAAATGGTGAGGGGCGGTGTAATGAAGACAAGGATGGATAAGTGGCCCTTTTGACAAGTGGGGTTGATCCAGAGTTGAAGGTCAAATGAGGGAGTGAGAGTGAGGAAGACAGGATGTTGAGGTGTCAGACAGGAAGCTGAAGTCATGAAGGATGACTGTCATGAGAGGAAGAGACAGCAATCAAAATCCAAGAAGAAGAAGTTTGGAAAAACTGCAGTGTGAAAGACAGCAGGGCATGGGGAGAATAGAGGCTAATGGAGTGTTGCTAAGGGAGTGAGGTAGAAGTGGCTGATATATGGATAACAGGTACATGGACCATTTGGGATGATGGGTGTGAGAGGACAGGTCACCACAGGAGAGAGCAGCTGTGGAGAGAGTGTCATGTGGGATCAAGAAGCAGGGGAGATGGTTGTAGTTTTGCATGGGGTAGACCTAGCTCTTTCCCTTTGTTTGGCTGCTTTGTACGGGCTGACCCACAGTTTCTAAAGCTGTGATTGCATTGGCCAACCAATAGCATTCTTCTGTTGAATGGGAAAACCTACATTAAAGCAATAGGAGAGCTGAGATTTTGAACACTCAAAAAATAAAATTCCAGTGTATGGCTCCCAGAGCAAAGTAAACTCTGACTTCTGTGTATATTACCATAAATGCTGTTAAATACTGCCTTCATATTAAATCATATTAATGCCTTAATAACTTTGCGTGTTTAAAATCTCATCTCTCCTATTGCTTTAATGTAACTTTTGGGGTTTCATTTCCTTGCTTTTATAAAAGAAAAAAGTAAGGAATCATTAATTGCACATTGAAATAAATGTCCTGAATTTGTGTACTTGATTGATGTCCTGGTCATACATTGCAGTATATCTGAGATTCAGTGAATGTAATGGAAGGTATAACCATTGAAACAAAGGCAGTGCAGCAGGATGCTGCGTTAAAAGGATGGTTTATCAGAAGTGCCTCCCCTTCCACATCCTACAAAGAACCATTCTGTAATACTAAATAACAGCACCTTTCGGGAAGCAGAAGGTCAGATGATTCTCCATCAGTCTTCCTTATAGCAATCCTCCCAGCTGTCAGGGGAGGAGGGATAGCTCAGTGGTTTGAGCATTGGCCTGCTAAACCCAGGGTTGTGAGTGCAATCTTTGAGGGGGCCACTTAGGGATCTGGGGCAAAATCAGTACTTGGTCCTGCTAGTGAAGGCAGGGGGCTGGACTCGATGACCCTTCGGGGTCCCTTCCAGTTCTATGAGATAGGTATCTCTCTCTCTCTCTCTCTCTCTCTCGTGTCCTCCTTATGCAAAATACTGTCTCCCCTCAGTCTATCTTATTCCTGCAAGCATGCTGAATGCAGAGCCTTTTCTAGCCCCCACTCAAACAATCTTCTACCTCTTCCCCAGAAGAAATGAGATTCTTGTGAAAAAAGACTACAGAATGAAGAATTTGATGTGTCAGAAAAGAGATGATGTACAGTAGCCAGTGGAGTCAGTGGATACTGACTGATCTGTCTTGGATATGGGCCGGTCCTGGGTTAAAGAGGCCAGAAATAATCTTGGATCTCTTAAGAAGACTCCCATGGGTGGGTGTCACACCTTTATTACAGCCTTGTGCCAGCTTGCTTAGATTGGATCGTATGACAAAAATGTGTGCATCCACAAGTATGCTATTTGAACCACTGTATCTCAGTCACGTGAAAATCGGTTTTCATCCAACCACTAAAGGCACTTCTCCAACTTTCATAGCTTACTTCCTTTGTAAACTTCAAGTTCCTGTCACCTCCCATTGAATCTTTAGGTCTTTTTTTTTTAAAGTTCCCAAGCTTTTTATTAATAAATGCAAAAGTATGTTTCCCCACTCTCTTCCTTCTTGAAAAGGTTTAGAGATTTTTGCTGAAACTTTCAAAATAAAAAGAAAAACCTGAGGAGAAACTTCCCAAACTTCAGCCCCAAAGTAAAAAAAGATTAGCAAAGGAATAAGCATCTGAAAAAGGCCTTCTAGAACAAAAAATTATTGGCAGCTGACTGTAGGCATTTCTCAGTGAATAGTAATGTCACTGCTATGATGTGATGTCTGCTTTTCATCAGAAAACCAGCTCTTTGTTGGCTGATTATAATTGTGACATAGAAAGTAATTCAGCTACTCATATGGTTGACTTTTTAGTTAGTTTGCACACAGCAGGTCTTTTAGTTAAAATGATTTGTCCTAAATCCCTTTTTAAAATTAAAAACTATCTCTTGGGTGAGAAGTTTTTGTCATCCTGCAGCTCTTTCTTTGAACATGTGGTTGGAATGACATTTTAATGAATCCAAACTCTGAAAGAATTTCTCTGTGCATAAATACCAACTGGCATACTTCTGCCACCTCGACTGATGTGACAGTTCTACTGATACCTGTGTGTGAGGGAGTAATGGGTTCAGAAACTTGAAGGAGGGGAGAGAGAAAACATACCCGTGCAGCCAGAAATGTGATATGAATTCTCGGCTTTATTCTGTTCCATCTAGAATCAGGCAAAAACTTTGTTCTTTGGAGACATTTTCAGAATTTGCAAAGGATCAAAAACTTGTATGAAATGACTACGTTTTAAAAACGGCTCTCAGCTCAGAAATAAATTAAACTGTAAAAGCAGAAATGTCCTTATTCCAAAGGAGAAATTGTTGTTTGTTTTTTTCTGTTCTGAGCATTTCATTTATTATTTACTCCCCAATTTGAGAGGGGATTTGGTTTCAAGCTGAGTTAAACATTCAGAAATGCATGTTGAAACATTGAAGGATGTTTGGCTGTGGATGATAATTTCTTTCGTTTTATTCAGATAGACACTTACAGCCTGCTGAGTTTCTGTGATGCTGCAACTTGGGAGTCTTCCGTGTTCCTCAGCAGTCCAAGTCAAGCCAGAATCCCTTGGGGTTATGGTTATAACTATGCTGTACTGCTACTAATGAGTCTCCTTTGAGGATGAGCTCGCATCGAGTAAATCTGCTCATGTGAAGTTGCATACACCCCTCCATATAACCCATTGTGGTTGCATGCTTACCCAGTCATGGATCTAAATATTGAGGCTTATGAGTATACTAGAGATTATTGCTCCAGGCCCATGCCATAAGATTTCAACCATGACTGTACGGAGCACTGGAACCCACTACTTTCTTTGTCTAC